ATTCTTACACCAACGTTCATTGTGTTGATTAATGTACTTTCACAGTAAGGCTTGAAATCAGGCAATATGAGTCATCCAACTTTGTTTTCATCTTCAAATTATTTTGGCTATTTGAGGTTTAGCATTTTCGTATAAATCTTAGAATCTTTTTGTCAATTTTTATAAAAATTGTTGGAACTTTGATTAGCATTGTGGCCAAATGAGAAATCAATTTGTAAAGAATTAACCTATTAACAGGGTCAAGGGGGAGGGCATAGCTCAGTGGTAGAGCACATGCCTTGCATGTAAGGGGTCCTGGGTTCAATCCCTGGTACCTCCATTAAATAAATAAATCAATAAACCTAATTACCTCCTCCCCCAAACAAAAACAGAAACAAAAATTAAAAAACAAAACAATGTCAAATTTTGTCATCCCTAAGCACAGTGTATTTCTCTATTTTGACCTTCATTAATTTCTCTCATCAGTATTTTGCACTTTCAGCATTAAAATCTTGCAGATAATTTGATGTATTCTGATGTATTGCATGCCTTATGCCATCACTGATGTATTTATATTTCAGTTTCCAGCTGTGGATCACTGAAACACAAGCGGTTGTTTCGCGTTCACCCTGACGGGGAGGGAGGGAGCGATGCGAAGGCTCGTGTTCCGCAGCCGGCCTGCGTGTCGTGTCGCAGGAGCGCGGGGGCCAGAGAGGCCGAGGGGGCAGGCCCGAGGCCCAGGCAGGAACAGCTGGAGCACACGTGGTCGGCCACTGCCACTCCCTCTGAGCTCCACGCGGCGGTTTTCAGCGTTTCCGTCCCTGACGATGTTTCCGTCCCTGACGATGCTCTCCGCAGGCCACGGGGCAGGGGGACACATACGAAGCACGGGCGAGGCCACGTGGGGGCGGCGACACGGCGCGGCGCGAGGCCCGGGCGATCAGCGCGCAGGAGGAGGAGCCGCCGTTTCTGAATCTGTGCCGCTTACCAGCTAGCAGGGGAGCCTAGTCCCACGTACGGCGGGTGCGGAAGACAGGAGGGCCCCAGATAACAGACGGGGGCATGCTGCTCACGGACAACACTCTGTGTGGACACGGGTTTGACTTGTACCCCCGTCCCACGGGGGTGGGAGGGGGCGACATGGGAGGACCTCAGTGGACCCCTACAGGTGCACCGTGCTGTGCTGTGGGAGAGAAACCCGGCCACGAGTCCAGAAGTCCGATCAAGCCGCAGCATTGGACCCAGTAGCTGATAAGCCAGTGCCCCTACGATGGGACCAGCACTGTGGTCTCCTCCAGCTGCTAAGTTGCCTGCATGACTAACTCCACAGGCCTTGCAGTCTGACCAACTGAGCAGGAATGCAGAAGATGCTCAGGGCCCATGGGAGGGAGTGGGGTCCCTCCCAATGGCATAGTTATTCATTTAAAGAATTCACTGTATAAAGAAAATGCGTAAGCATTTTTCACGTCCAGATCTGCCTGAATACCGTCAAGGGAAAGGTATTCACAGCCTTCAGAGAGGCCTTATTTCTTCCATGAGTGACCCTGGAACAAGGTCGGTCTACTTTTCCTTGTATCCATCGTGCCTAGAGCTCCAAGAACATGCCCTCAGCTTCTCTGACCTGAGAGCCCTTCAGATACTTGAAGACAACTGTGGTTCCCTGATACTTTCTACAATTTGAGTGAAACACTTGCAAAATATTTAAGTAATTACGTGGCACTGAATGTGTGACAGTCTCTGTCCCAAGCTCTACTGCACACATGTGAACTCTTTGACAATGTGGTAGGCTAGTTACACACTGCTTTTATGCCCATTCTATAGATGAGCAAACTGAGGGCCAGAGAGGAGACCAACTCGTCCCAGACACACAGTGAGCTGGGATCTGAGCCCCAGA